TTTCCTCAGCTTCAGCTTGAATTTGCATATGAGTAGTTGGTGGTCTGTTCCACAATCAGCTCCTGGCCTAGTTTTCACAGCTGATATTGAGCTTCTCCATAGAAACCACCAATCTAACACCAGCCGACCACAGAAAAGGGAATATGATTCAATCTATGGCACTGAGACTAATCAAAGTTAATTTTCTGTTGTTTCTTTATCAGCGCCTTTAAAATCTTTTTAAGCTAACTTGACTGGAGCCTTAAAAAAAAAAAGAAAAGAAACAAAAGTCTGTCTGTATGTACACAGAATAATTGCTCAATAAATTGTATATACTTTATTTTATTTTCTGGGGGGTTTAGGTTTGTTTGTTTTTTTAAAGCAAGGTCAGAAGGCATTGGAAAGGCTTGTGTCCCTATGCATGGGAAAGGGAGAAACAAGAGAGAAGGAAGTTCTGGGTCCTGAATTCATTTGTTTTCTCATCTGTCCTTCAGATATGATTCAGCTATTAAAGATCTAAAAGAGGCCTTGACACAGCTTCGAGGGAATCAGCTGATAGACTACAAGATCCTGGGGCTGCAATTCAAGCTGTTTGCATGTGAGGTAAGGAGGGCAGACTGGCAGGAGTGCTGACGGCAAATAGTCAGGTTTATGACCATCTGCTGATGTCTCTAGAAACTGGGAAAACTCACTCACCTCCTGTGCTTTGGGATCCAGATTTCCCCTTGAGAATAGATGTCTTTGGCTCATCTTGGAGCCTCTGATTACCTGATGCATGCATTCAAGAGAAGGAGTTTCCAAGGATGATACAAAGATAAGCAAACAGCTTTTCCAAGGGAAGATTGAGCGTTCACGTGTTGGCCTGTGAAAGTATTCATCATCATTCGCATTTTTTAAGCTACTCATTTACTTTATGCTTTAGTTATCTAGTATTGTTAAAAGAGAAATCTCACAAGTGGATAGCTTTAACACTCAGACGTATATTCCATCACAGTTCAGGCTAGAAATCTGAATTCAGGATGCCAACATCAGGGAAAGACTGCCTGTTTCTGTTAGCGCTGGAGAAATGTCCTTGCTACTCAAAATGTAGAATTGTTTTTTTAACTTTTTAAGTAATTTTTTATTATTATTTTAACAAAAGTTTACAGAAAACTTGGATTTCTATGCATTCATTGTTGCACATTTTCCTCCCTTCCCCTAGTTTTTTTTCTCTTTAAAAAATTCTTTCATTATTGCACAATTTCCTCCATCCCACCACCACTCCAGTCTACTTTGCTATGCACCTCTTATCCTGGACTGTTGTAATGCAAATAATACCTAATCATATATTCCTTTTAAACAATTCTTTTCCTCATCTGTTCCAATGCAGTGTACATTATTTATCCCTTCACAGTTTCCCCTCAGCCCCCAATGTCAGTCCTGTTTTATAACAGTGGCATTATGAAGTATTTGTCCTTCTGTGACTGAGATATTTCACCCTTCATAATGTCCTCCAGGATCACCCGTTTTTTAATAATATTTGATGCGTTCCTTGTTTTTCAGTGCTGCATATTATTCCACTGTGTGAACAGACCACAGCTTCTCTATCCATTCATTTGTTGATGGGCACTTGGATTGCTTCCATCTCTTTGCTATTGTGAGCAATGCAGCAATAAACAAGGGTGTGCATATATCTGTTTTGGGTGGCGGTTATGGTTTCTTTAGGGTATATTCCAAGTAGTACAATTGCTGGGTCAGCGGGGGGCTCTGATGGCCTAGAGGCAAGGAGCTGCAACTACAATCCCAGAGGCACCCGGTTCAAATCCACCAGATGCTCTGCCGGGAAAAAGAGGGACAATCTCCTCCTGTACCAGTCAGATCTGATTTGACAGTACACTCACACAAAAATTAAAAAAAAAAGAGAGAGAGAAAAATCCAAAACAATTGCTGGGTCAAATAGTTTTTCTATTTACAACTTTTTGAGAAAGTGCCATACTGCCTTCTATAGTGGTTGCACCATTTTACACTCCCCCCAAGGGTGAATAAGGGTTCCAGTTTCTCCACAACCTCGCCAGCATTTGTTGTTTTCTGCTCTGCTGAACTTTGCTATTGCTACTGAGGTGAGATGATATCTCATAGTTGTTTTGACAGAGTTTTGTTTTTTTAAAACCTCCATGTGGCTTAGCATCAATCTCCTGGGTCTAGGAGGTCCTCAACACAAAGACCCTGCATCCAAAGAACAGCCTCTGCTTCTAGTTTTTCTTTGTTGGTGTTGCTGGCGTCCCTCCTCTACTCATGTCGCTAACCTTTCGTCTCTTGCAATACAAAAGATAATGCAGGTACACCTAACAGAAACTCCCTTTACATTGGATCAGAGTCGTAACCTGCATAAAAGTTTTAAATCCCACCTTCATGCCCTGTGAGATTACATCACTACATAACTGCCAGACCACCGAGAATCATGGCCCAGCCAAGTTGAAACCTAATTTTTTTGGTGGACACATTTCAAGCCTCAACAACTTATTTGTTCAGCATTATACTAAGCTACCCACAAATTTCCTGTTTACTGTCCACCTAGGAGCAGCTGTGGTTAAGTTGGTTGGCAGTTTCAACATACCAGTTGCTCCACAGGAGAAAGATGTGGCAGTCTGCTTCCATAAAGCCTTGGAAACCTTAAGAGGCACTTCTACCCTGCCCTAGAGGATTGCTATGAGTTCTGCTCACTTTGATGGCAACTGAAAGATTTGTTCTTGTTGTTGTGATGTGTTGTTGTGTTGCCTGTGACTCATAGCAACCCCATGTGCAACAGCTCTGAAATCTGCCCTATCCTGAGCCAGTCTCACTGATTCTGACACACCAACACCCATTGCCCCAGTTACTGTGCCAATCCATCTCATCAGAGGTCTTCCTCTCCCGTGCTGTCCCTCCAACCTTCCGAGCATGATGTTCTTCTCCAAGGATTGGTCCTTCCTGGCCACATGTCCAAAGTATGTGAGATGGAGCTTTAACATACTAGCCTCCAAGGAAACACTTGGTTTCACCTTCTCCAAGATAGACTTATTTGTTTTCTTGGCAGTCTATGGTATGTTCAAGATGCTTCTCCACTCCCACAACTCAAAGGTACCGCTTCTTCTTCTGCCATCTTTAGTCATTGTCTGATACTTACATGTCTGATTACTTACATAGCAAGTAATTGCAAAGCCCATGGCCTGGATCAGGTGTACCTTATTCTCTAGACTGACATCATCATTGCTTTTCAACACTCTGGAGAGATGCCTGACAGCAGATTTTTCCAGTGCAATTTGTCATTTGGTTTCCTGACTGCTGGTGTCAAGAGTATTGGTTGTGGAGCCAAGCAAGCTGTAATTATTAACTACCTCAATCTCTTCTCCGTCTATCATGATGCTGCCAATAGGCCCAGTGGTGAGAATATTTGTCTTCTTGATGTTGAACGAATTTGTACCACTAACTGAAAGATTAGTTATACAAGTTCAGTTAGAAGCTCCTCAGAAAAAAAGACTGACAATCTACTTCCCAAAAAATCCCAGCCATTTTAAAGTCTGTGAAGAGGTGACTTCTCTGCCCTTTGTTGTCCCTCTCCTACCCAGGACAGCAAACCTCACCCAAAAGCTCCCAATAAAAAGCTTCTTTGATTAAAAAAAAAAAGAAGAAGAAGAAGAAGAAAAGAAAAGTCTGTGGAGCACATTATACTTTGTTACACCTGGGGTCACCATGAATCTGAATTGACTCCAAGGAAATTGTTTTTATTTTTGTAGAACTGACAATAACCTTGTTCAATTCTCATGTTCAGATCACATTTCTTGCCATTTAGTTTTAACCATTTAGTTTTCACCCCATGTGTTTGGCTGAAACCCAAAGATTAAAGATAATTTGACACAAATCTATGCCCTCTTGATCACAGGACTCAAAATACAAGTTCAAGTCAAGATTTCCACAGAAGAACACTCATATTTCTGTACTACCAAAAGGGAGAGACATGACTAGAATATACTTTTTTTTCAACCAACCCTTTCCACTCTCCATTATTTTCAAATACACCTCAATAACTTTAGAAACAAAAATCCCCACAGGGCAGATCTTCATTTAGAAAATTCTGTGGAAAAAAGTCCCTTTGCTTTAGTTTTTCAGGCAAGAGAAATGACGTGTTCCCAGGGTTGCTCAGGACTAATAATAGTCTACAGCTGCCTAGGCCTCTGGGGACAAGTGTTCCATCTCAGCCCTACAGCAGATTGAGCAAATTACTTTCTTCTCTTCTCACAGATCAGGAAAAAAAGATTTTGTGGCAGGAATCGGTCAACATTTGACCTGTATCTAGAGTTCAGAACCGATCCATAGCTGACCCTCCAGCAGGTTTTCAGAAGCACTAAATTGGACAGGAGGAGATTACCTATCTTTCTCTAGTGGATTTGAACCATGAGCCTTAGGGATTGCAGTGCAGTGCCTCACCCCTAGACCACCAGAGCTCTCCAGCACCTAGAGTAGGGCCCGTCAACTATGGAACTACTGACATATTGAACTAGGTTAATACTTTGTTGTAGGGGCTTTTTTTGTGCACTGTAGGGTATTTCACAGCATCCTTGCCTCCTATCAACTAGATAGCTTCAGTATAATAACTTAAAACATCTCCAGGAATTGCTAGTTGCCCTAGGTTGAAACCCTCTGTGTAAACAGATTAAAGAGTTGGAAGATGCAGCAGCTCCATAGAGTTCTTTGATAGAGAACATTTCATTGGGATGAATGTTCCCCTGTGTGGGACTGAAATGACCTATGAGGCTCTTTAGAAGTGAAGCTGTGTTCTTCCCGGTTTTAAAAGGTTCCTCCTGGTGACACAGTGGTGAAAGTATTAGGTCATGTTCAGTATATGTGCAGTAGGCACCAGCTTATTGGTAGCTCAGAAACAGGCCTGGAGTGAGTCTATGAGTCTAGCTCTCCACTCCTGTACTTATTGGTCACCTTCATTGACTCTCTAGTCCTTGTAAAATTGGTTTCTAGCATCATATGCAAGCCTTCATGGAAATACCAATTCTGTTATTCATCCACACTTGCCTTAATAAACTTTGATGGTTTTTAATCTGGCTGTGTCCCTAAATCAAATCGTGACATAGTTGGCAAGTTGACATAGAGAAAGCTATTAGTTATCTATTGCTGAATAACAAATGTAGTGGCTTTAAATAGCAAATATTATCTCAATGTTTCTGTGGGTCAAGAATCAAGGGTGGCTTAGCTGGGTGATGCTGGCTTAGGGTCACCTGGGATGTGGGCCAACACTGCAGTCCTCCGAAGGTGTGACTGGGGCTGGGTGATCCACTCCTAAGGTGGCTCACTCACATGTCTGGTTTGCTTTTTTGTGTGGAGGCCTTAGTTTCTTCCCACGCGGGCTTCTTCATAGAATTGCTTGAATGTTCTCATGATACGGCAGTAATTAAAGAGAGAACTTAAGGTTGTCAATGTGTTTTATGAATTAGCCTCAAATGTCACATCCCATTGCTTCTGCAAAATCCTATTGGATACCTGAAAAAAAACCAAACAACTCACCACTGTTAAATCAGACCTGACTCATTGGGAACTCCATTGTATAAACTGAAATGGGAGACTGCCCTTTACTGGAGGAGGGAGAGAGCAAGATCACGGTGATACTGACATATACATGCGTGTACACTGGAACGAACCTATAACAGTTCAAGGCCACCACCTGCTCCACAGCAGAAGGATGAGCAATCTTCCGTGTGATTTAACTGCCTCTGAAAACCCACTGGAGGGTCAGCTATGGGTCGGTTCTGACTCCACAATACACAACAACAAATATATATATATATAACACATATATTAACCAGGACAACAACCTTTTGCCATCTTGTTTTCCTTCTTGTCTTACTGCTTTTCGGTCTTTGTTTTAGAGTCTTTTCAACTTCTTTCAGTTAATTGGTCCTTCTCTCCCCTCACCTTACTGCATACATACGAAAGATTCTTTTTTAATTAGGTATGTGTTTTAAAGTGTAATGATGAAACAAATTAATTGACCTAAACCCAACATAACAACTGAAGACTTGGAAAATACTTATTCCATAAATTGGAATATTTGTATTCTCTTCATGTCCCAGATAAATCTCTCTGCTGGGTTTTGTCCAGAGTCTCTTTCCAACTCTACCAGACTTTGTTCAGTGAGTTTCCTCACTCCATCACTAGGTGACAATCTTGTAACTCAATTGTTCCAGGAACATGTGGGTGCTGGTGCGGGGCGAGCATGTGGAACCCTCTCCCTGTCTCCCATCTGTCCAGTGTTTCAGCTTAAGCTCATGGCAGCAGGCAAGCATCATGGGAGGCCACATGTCGGCTTTTCATTCCTGACTCTTTGTGCCTCCTCACGGGGCCTTCAGCAAGTCACTCTTCTCCATGCTAAAGCAGTATAAATCATGTCTTCTCCTGATTTAGCCACTGAAAAATTATACACATTATTGGATTTTTGCATTGCATAGTGTTTTCTTAGCTTCACACTTGATGTAACTCTGTTGTCAGAACAATCATACTATATTTTAAACATTCCCAGGAAAGCTATGTCTCAGGAGAAATATCTCCAGATAACATTCCAAGAATATACATCAAAGTGTTCCTAGCACCTAGATCTGAAGAAATCCTGAGCTTTCTATTCGTGGCCTGTGTTTTTCTAGGTGTTATATAACATTGCTTTCATGTATGCCAAGAAGGAGGAATGGAAAAAAGCTGAAGAACATTTAGCATTAGCTATGAGCATGAAGTCTGAGCCTAGACATTCCAAAATCGATAAAGCCATGGAATGTGTCTGGGTAAGTACCGGTGATATGGGGAGGGAAGTGAGAGGATGTTTTTAGATGTGGGTTTGTTCCAGTATACATGCAGTAGGAGAAACAGCCACAGCCACATTGATGGTTTTCCAAATGCTCTAAAATACAAATATATATATATATATATAAATTTTCCAGTTTATTAATTGTCGAGTGTAAAACTTATACTCAGTATTCACAATGTTATTCAACCATCACCACTACCTACCCACATATTGGTGCTTTCATTTCCCTGAATTTTGAGTAATAATGATCTTTGGGCATAGTTCCATCAGTATCACTGCTGTGTGTTGTGGTGAGAAGCCAAGGTCTGCAGTGCAGTACAGCACAGCTTCTGTATCACATCGCTTTTTTAATAGGTTTCCATAGCAACAGAGAGAGAGGGAGAGAGGAGAGAGAGAGAGAGAGAGAGAGAGAGAAAGGAAGGGGGGTGGAGAGGATGTAGGAAGCTGGGGTGGTGCTGAGCAGCCTCCAGATACCACGAGACTCCGCCTTGCTACTTTTGAGTACTCACAGCCTTAGACAATGGCAGGTACAACAGCTCTCAGCAAAAACCTACTGATTATATATATAAATGGACGGTGAAAATTACCTATGCCTTGCCTCAGCATATTTGGGAACAAAGTTAGATTTTCACCAGATTTTTGAAATGTCAGGAACAAGGGAACCTACCTCAGTCTTTCATGCCTGTGACAACAGCAAACACCAGTCCTGAGAGAGCATTACCATGGTCTTGCTTGGGTTGTGGGACAACCCTGTGATTGTGGTAGCTCCAATGCTGAGGGACAGTGACACCTGAGAAACATGGAATGGGGCTGAGAGAAGCGACAGACCCTCAGGAAAGAGGGCACCAGGCATGTAATACCTACATAAGCAGGAGTGGCATCCACTTCCTAAACAACATGCCTCTGGAAACTCAATGAACTTTGAAAATTATAATAGTTACAGAAAGGTTTCAGGCCTTTTGTTCATAGGGTCACTATGAGTCATGGTCGACTTGATGGTAATCAACAACGACAACAACACAACAACATTGTCCACATAGTCTCTAAACATAAAGTGATAAGGAAACCAGCTCGTCCTACTGTAGAGGGCTTACAACAGTAGTAACAAAATCATTCTCTCTAAAATACCATGTTAAGTGAAATGAACCGGATAGGAAAAGGACAGATATCATATGACTCAACTTGAACGCGGAGCTGTGGTGGTATAGTCTGTAGGGAGTTGTGCTATAAACCCCCAAACTGTGCCTCTCTGTGGTTCAAATCCACCAGCAGCTCTGAGGCGGAAGGAGGGGCAATCTCTTCTTCTGCGATTTAAAGCCCTAGAATGCAATGAAAGTTCAGCTATGAGTTGGTTCTGACTCAATAGCAAAAAGCTAAGAGTTACTTAGATGAAGTGTCTAGAATAGGTAAATCCGGAAAGATAGAAAGTCGATTAGTGAGTTCTAGGAATAAGAGACGGGACCATGAGGATGCTTCAGGAACATTGAGTGTCTATGTGGGATGGTGAAAAGGTGTGAAAATATATAGCGGTGATGGTTAGACACTGTGTGAAATGCAGTTAATGTCACTGCATCACACTCTTAAAAATAATTAAAATGACAAATTTCAGGTCATATATTTGACCACACCTGCATAAAAAGAAGTGAAGAGTATTTGAATACCAAAAGCAGTTGTAAAAACATTAAATCTAAAAAATATATTTCAATTCAGTGTAAAACTAAACAACAATATAAAAACATAAAATAAATTGGAAGATAAAACACATGTGAATGAAATATTTTAAATACAGCAATACTAGTCTATATTCTCTGGATATAGATATGTTTTTAAAAAAGAAATCTTGAACATTTTTACTTAAAAATAAATCTTTCCAAATCTAGAAAAAAGGTTTTCTTGTCAGATTTTGTCATTTGATACTTGAATCTATCCAGTAAGAAAAGCAGAAAAGTCTTACCACCCCCATTTTGCAGAGGAAGGATTACTGTTTTCTGTGTTGTAGAAGCAGAAGCTGTACGAGCCAGTGGTGATCCCCGTGGGCAGGCTATTTCGACCAAATGAGAGACAAGTGGCTCAGCTAGCCAAGAAGGATTACCTGGGCAAGGCCACGGTAGGTGGGAGCTCAGAGCTCCCCCAGACCCTGGGGTTTGGGGGAGGGGGGCGGGCGTCATATGCAAGTGGGAAGAGGTCATTGAATCATCGTCCTGCTCCTGGGGTTGAACAGAAGACAGAAACTTACTTATTTACACGGGGGAGGTCGTACTGAATGAAAGAAGTGCAAACATTCTAGTTTTCTCCCAGCTCCTCTCATTCTTCCCTTCCAGCCTGATTCATGGACAAGAGCCACAGATGCTAAGATTACTCTCAATTTACTAAGTCTTGGGGACTGTGTCAATGGAAAAGAAAACACGGCTCTGCGGAGCTCACTGAAAGTGGAGAGTACACGGGAGGGAAGAGGACCAGTAACGATCCTCTTCTTGTGATGTTCCTTACAGTTTACTTTCGGATGCTGCAAAAAGTCTCTCCCCTAATTTCTACAGTCATACAATTAGTTTCTCCTTCTGAAGTTTGGTATTCCATCCTTATAAAAGTGATTCTAAGTCATTGAGCAGCCAAGGCTATTCCTTTCTAAAGCTGCACTTGACTGGGACACATTTGGAGGGTTGGTGCTGTTTGCTGACTGAGTATTGGTTCGCGCACAGCAGCAGCAGTTAAGGGAACCTGAGTCAACAACTGGCAGATGCTGATACTTGTTTGTTCAGTTGCTGGAACATGTATGCAGATAGTTAGTGATGCAGTCTTTAGCCACATCCCACTTCTGGAATGAGACTCAAGTGAGGGTTGACAGGGTGTGCAAAAAAGAGCGGATCCTGGCAGAGACCCCAGGAGAGCAGCCCTCACACCCTCCTTTCTTGATTGCAGGTGGTGGCATCTGTGGTGGATCAAGACAGTTTCTCTGGATTTGCCCCTTTGCAGCCACAGGTGAGGTAATCCCATTCCTCCTTGGATCTTAGTCTCCAGAACTCTCCATGAAACATTTAATCTAGAGAAAACATGAGCTGTCGTTGTTGTTTTGTGCTGTCGAGTCAGAGCCGACTCATAGCTGACACTCTAGCTGCTTTTCAGAGGCAGTAAATCACATTGACCACCCTTCTGTCATGGAGCAGCTGGTGGATTTGAACTGCATGCTTTTGGGATTACAGGGCAGTGTCTTACCACAAAGCCACCAGAGCTCCATGGTTACCAAAATTAGTGGGGCAAAGTGCAATGAAAACCGAATGTTTCTATAGTTTCAAAATATCACCCAATGAGAAAAGTTGTAATACTAAAGAGTAAAACAATTTACAGTAGGAAAGACTGGAAGATAATATCTTAAATATGAAAACAAAAGAATCCTCCATAATAAACATTAATGCATTTCATCAAAGAAAACATAGCATCAATAAAAGCATTTAAAAAAAAATATAAAGTCTTCCTTTAATTGACCTCTTAAAATTTCTGAGGATGAGATAGACTGAGAGAGATAGGAGGAGAAGAGTATTGAGTTTCCTGGTCTCTTTTTTCATAACAAATTTGAAGAAAGCCTTGCTGAGTGGCTTTGATTCCACCAGAGGAGGCTACCAAAGGGGGACTGAGACCAGAAACCTGGACTCTGCGATGCTCATGTGGAATAAAACCCATCCATTGGAAAGGAGAGCCAGGCCTGCTCAGTGGATCCTGCATTCATCTTAAATACTCAGAAGTATCTTGTGACACAGCACACATTAATTATAGAACAGCGCTCTTAGAAACTGTCCTAGGATAGGGACAAAGCTCAAGGTCAAAAGCACCCCTGTGATAACCGTGTTGCTCTGTGACAGCTCAACTTCTCCAGAAACCAGGTCTGGCTCAAGATTAATTGCTGTGCTGGTGAAATCTCTACCCAGGGAGCTGGTGGGAGGTGTTTTTCCCCCAGTAGTCAGTCTGGGCACACTGTGCCATCTCTCCAGACACTGCTCATGCAGCCAGAAATGCATTCTTGGATTTTTTTCTGGTCTGAAAATTGAATGCTCAGATTGCCATTAACAGACTGTTCTCTCTCCTTGTCTGCCTCATTGTCTTTCTTCCTTCCCCCTGAATGTCCAATAGGCAGCTGAGCCCCCACCCAGACCCAAAACCCCAGAGATTTTCAGGTAAGTGGAAGCCAGTTTGCTGAATATCCCAGATCCAAGTCAGAACTGATGACAATGAAGGAGGGCAGGGGGAGGTGGTCAAGTTCAGGCTCTAAATCCTGTGGGATTTTCCTGTTTTTCACATTAGAATCATATAGTGGAAGCTCCCCTCCCCTCTTTTTTTAACCTTAATTTTTGTTGTTTTGTTGTTGTAAAACCTGTTGGTTGGTTGGTTGGTGCTGGGTTTTTTTTTCAAGTAAAAAAATAATTACTTGGTTAATTTTTTGTTGTTGTAAAACTGTATATCACACATTTGTCTACTCAGTATTTTTCAGGTGTATAATTTAGTGGCTTAGTGGTCGCTCTGGTGGCCTAATGGCAAGAAGCTGTCTTGCAATCCCGAAAACATATGGTTCAAATCCAACAGCTTCTCTGTGGGAGAAGGATGGTAAATCTCCTTCTGTGTAATTAACTGACTCTAAAAATCCACTGGAGGGTCTGTTATGAGTCAATTTTGACTTGATGGTACACAACAACAACAACAGTGGTAAAAAGCTGTGCTGCAATCTCAAAAGCAGGCAGTTCAAAGGAGAAGGATGGGCAATCTCCTCGCATGTCATTAACTGCCTCTGAAAACCCTCTGGAGGGTCAGCTATGAGTTGGTTCCAATTCAATGGCACGTAACAACAATTATACTAATCAAGGTGTGGAACCATCACCATAAACAAAAGTTCACTGCTTCCTAAACTTGGTAGGAATCTGACTACTGGGACTCAGAGAAACTAACACTGTGTCCTTGAGTGTTGAGGGTCAATTGATGTCAACATGCACAGTCACCCACATAATGAGAACTTGGTGTTAAGTGTCATGGAGCCAGAACCAACTCACAGTCGGCCCTTCAGCGGGTTTTCAGAGTCTGTAAATCATACAAGAGGAGATTGCCTGGCTTTCTCCTGTGGAGCAGCCGGTAGATTTGAACTACCTGCCTTGGGCTTCACAGCACAGCTTCTTACTCATTAGATCACCAGAGCTCCTATATTGAGGTGATTTTGCTGTAATGTAGCAATATTCCATGCAACACATTCCCCGTAGGCTAGAAGACCAAGTCTGAACAGAGGCCAGTTCCACCCTGAAGAGAGGTGACCAGCACTCTCTGAGCAGGAGGACAGAAAGAGGGAAATTTGAAAGGCATTGACCCCTTTCCAGTGTGGGTAGCGTTTGTGCCCAGTTGGCACATGTTTCCTGAGGAAGAGGAAGGACTTGTGAAAAGGAAGTCATTCTTCTACAGGTTGGGAAGAGGGACAGCTTCCTCAACAAATCCCTCCAAGTAAAGAAACCCCGCATATCTCCCTCATCTGAGAAAGATTAAAAGAGGGGAGAAACGCCAAAACACTCCATTACTTGTAGCACCAAACAATTACAAAAATGAGGGGGCGAGATGCACTCAATCCCAAGTACCTGTCAGCTGGAGGAGGTTGTTTTTTCTGCACTAATAGATGCTATGTTTGGGAACAAAAGGAAAGGCCTAGGGGAAAGTAAAAAAAAAATCCAGAGAGAAGAACAGGTCTAGTTACCTAGAGCTCCCGTAACAGGAAGACCACGAGCTTTAACAAACAGAAGTTCAACTTCTCACATTTCAGGGGGCTAGATGTTCAACTTCAGAGTGTTGGCTCTGGGTGAAAGTTCCCATTTCTTTAGCTTGCTTGTTTATTAGAGATCTCCATTTGCCTTGGAATTCTATCTTACCCCATCTCTGCCTCTTCTGCCTGCATATTTAGGTGTCTCTCTAAGACTAAGGTGCATCTGATACAGGCCATGGTCTTTGCTATCACTTGTTATGCATCAGAGAGCTGGTCAATGACGAGTAAGGATAGAAGGAGAATTGATGCCTTTGAGCTGTGGTGCTGGAGAAGAGTATTGAGGGTACCATGTACTGCTAGGAAAACAAACAGGTTCATCCTAGAAAGGGTTAAACCGGGTGGCTCCTTGGAGACGAGGATTCTGAGACATAGTCTGACATACTTTGGTCATGCTGTAAGGAGAGACCGATCCATGGAGAAGGACATCATGCTTGGGAGGATAGAGGGCAGGCACAGGAGGGGAAGGCCCTCTAACAGGTGGATTGATTCAGTGACTGGGGTAATCGGGATGGGTGTATCGGAGAGAGTGTGATTGGCACAGGACTGAGCAGAGGTTAGGGCTGTTGTACATAGGGTCGCCATGAGTCCCAAGCAACTTGACGGCACATAACAACAACAACAACATACCTCAAAAGAGACTCAAAACACAATTGACACTAATTCTGTCTCATTAATATGTTGTTGTTGTTGTTATGTGCCATCGAGTCGTTTGCGACTCATAGCGACCCTATGTACAACAGCCCTAAACCCTGATCTATCCTGTGCCAATCACATTGCCTCTGACACACCCATCCCGATTACCCCAGTCACTGAATCAATCAATCTCATAGAGGGCCTTCCCCTCCTGCGCTGTCCCTCCACCCTCCCAAGCATGATGTCCCTCTCCAAGGACCTGTCTCTCCTCACAACATGTCCAAAGTATGTCAGACGAAGCCCCAGAATCCTTGCCTCCAAGGAGTAGCCTGGTTTAACCCTCTCTAGGATGGATGTTTGTTTTCTTGGCATTAATATAGTAAAGATAAACTGTTTCCAAAAGTATGGAAATTAGGGTGTACAGCATGTATTTGGGGCCTGAGGAAAAGGGCCATACAATCCAACCTAAGAAATTCAACCTTTAGCTCCTCCAAATTCATGCCCATGCAACATACAAAACATGTTTGCCTCATCACATCCTCCCATGAGCTCATCTTAAATCAACGCCAAGTGCAAATTCCACCCAGAAGTAAACTTCTTCTACAAACGTGTGAAACCTAGCATATAAATTATCTGCTTCCAAAGAGCAAAGGCTGGGAACAGGCACAAGGCAGATGCTTTTATTACAAATAGGAGAAATTGGAGCGAGGGAGTAGTAACTGGCACTAAGCAAGTCCAAAGCCCAGTAGAACAAGATACATTAGCTTTCAAGCCTGGAAAAGAATTTTGTGTTCTCTTAGACCTTTGATTTTGGTTTGTTCTTTCTTTTCTCTTAAACCATCTTGGCAATGACCTTGGCCCTATTCTAGTCCATCTGAATGGTGACCCCTGGGCCCTGTTCTTCTAGTCCATCTGAATGGTGACCCAACCCCTGGGGTCCAAGCAGGAGTCATGTGGGATTATAACCACAGGCATGGTGGTTAGGATTTACAACCTATAGTTTGGGAGACTCATAATTCAATCCATAACAAATAGCATGTCTGAGCTGAATGGAGGAATATGAAACCCAAATACAATGGGCAGCTTTGAAGCCAGCCTCCCAGAAGCACATTCCAAATGGGCACCAGTCAGACACCTCAGAACCTCAGCGAGACAATAAAGGGGAAATGACACTGAGTATCGCACTATAAGGCACCTTCAGAATCTCCTCAAAGATCTCTTTCATGTTCCTCCCAGCTCTCTTCTCTTGTCCTCTATCCTCTTTACACGACCCTTACCCTATGCTGGTTTTAAATCATTTCACTCTTCTCCTGCTTGAAGTCCCTAAAAGGCTGGAGATTCAAGTCCACCCAGAGGCTCCTTGGAAGAAAAGCCTGATAATGTGCTTCTGAAAAGTTACCCATTGTGTATGAGGCCCCGGGTTCGATCCCCGGCATCTCCACCAAAAAAACCCACAAAACAAACAAACAAAAAGTTACCCATTGAAAACTTTACAGAGCAGAGTTCTGCTCTGGCACATATGGGGTTTACTAGGCGCTGGAGGGGGATTGACGGTAACTGGGTTTTGTTGGTTCTATTCTGTTAAATACTCTCACCTGCGACTAACACTTTTTTTATCCTGGCGACCCCTCACCTGATGCAGCCTACTCCTGACCCCTGAAAAAACACACCCAGAACTTTCCTCTCAAAAGGGAAAGGAGGGCCAGGATTTTTTGTTTATTTTGTTTTAAAAGACTCTGTTATTTAGAATTGTTTTTTTGGCTGACTTTGAGAAGAACGGGAATCCCAGAACATTTGGTTTTGCTTATGCAAAACCTATACTTGAACCAAGAGGCAGTTGTCAGAACAGAGCAAAGAGACACTTCATGGTTCAAAAGCAGGAAGGGGGTCCACCAGGGATGTATTTTGTCTCCATACCTTTTCAATCTGTATGCAGAACAGATCATCTGAGACACTGGGCTGTATGAGGAGGAATGTGGCATCAGGATTGGTGGAAGTGTCATCAACAATCTGCCTTATGCAGATGACATAACCCTGCTTGCTGAAACCAAGGAGGACCTGAAGTGCTTGCTACAGAAGGTCAAGGACTGCAGCTTTCAGTATGGATTGAAACTCAACATCAAGAAAACAAAGATTCTCACCACTGGACCAATTGGTACCATCAGGATGGATGATGGAGAGATTGACATTGTTAACAGTTTTAGTTTCCTTGGCTCCACAGTCAACACTCTTGGTACCAGCAGCCAGGAAATCAAAAGATGAATTGCAGTGGGAAAGTCTGCTGTCAGGGACCTCTCCAAAGTACTGAAGAGCAATGACATCAGGCTGGAGACTAAGGCGTACCCAATCCAGGCCATAGTCTTCGCAATTGTGTGCTATGTGTCAGAGAGCTGGACAATGACTAGGGATGATAGAAACAGAATTGATGCCTTTGAACTGCAGTGCTGGAGAAGAGTGTTGGACATACCATGGACTGTTAGGAGAACAAACAGGTTAGTCCTGGAGATGTTTAAATAGGGCTGCTCCTTGGAGGCAAGGATTCTGAAGCTTCGTCTGGCATACTTTGTGCATGTGGCGGAGGGTCAGCTCAAGAGAGGAACGCCCTCGATGAGAGGGATCAATTCAGTGACTGGGGTAATGGGAGCAGGCGTGTCAGAGACAGTGAGGTTGGTACAGGATTTACTGCTCTTGTACATAAGGTTGCTATGAATTGCAAGCGACTCACCAGCACATAACAATAAACAATAATATCAAAGACTACAGCCTCCTGTATGGGTTGCATCTTAATAAGTTAAAAAAAAAATCTCACCATTGAGCAGATAGGCAGCATCAGGATAGATGGGAAGAAAGAAATTGTCAATGATTTAATCTTATTTGGATCCACAGTCAGAATCCTTGGCACAAGTATCCAGGAGATCAGGAGACATACTGTGGAAGTTTGCTGTTGGACTCTTTGGCTGGCTGAGCTCCTCTCTTGTTCTCTCTTGTTGCATTTCGGTCTCTGCGAGGGTAACAGCCTTTGATAACAGCTGCTGTAGTATCCACAGCCCTCAAGATGGGTGATGATGGCAGCAGCCACAATGAGGCACAGTCCAAGAGCCCCCCCAGAGTCAGTGCGCCTGAGCATCCAGCAGTGCCTGGACTCTCCGGTGCACATCAGCCAGTGCCGCAGCACCCATTGCTCGCTGCCATCTTGCCAGAAGATGAAGCGAGTGGTGCAGCACTTCAGTGTCTGCAGGCGCAGGGTCAATGGTGGCTGCCTCGTCTGCAAACAGTTCATCGCCCTCTGCTGCTATCACGCTAAACACTGTCATGAGAGCAAATGTCCTGTATCCTTCTGCCTTAAGACCAAGCACTGGCTGTGCCAGTGGCAGATCCAACACCACCTTCCACAGGTCCAGCTCATGCACCAGAGAATAGCGGAATGAGTGCCCCAGCAGGCCTTGCTAGAGCCTGCCACACAGCCCAGCACCCCTAGAAGCCATATCCCCCCTGCCCAGCCCTAGCCTTCCCCCAAGAGAATGAACAAGTTTCCCTAGTGTGATCCAGACTCAGCCCCTCAAGGACAAGTCTAGAGGCAGGCAGGAAGTCCCGAAAAACTGGGAAAGATGAATAAATCGTTCACCTAAAGCCTACAGAAGAAACATCTGACACTTTGGTTTTAGCCCCTTAAAACATACCTCAGACTTCTGAATTCAAATGTGTGAGACAATAAACGTGTGTTTTTGAAAGAAAGAAAGACGGGAAGGAAGGAAGGAAGGAAGGAAGGAAGGAAGGAAGGAAGGAAGGAAGGAAGGAAGGAAGGAGGGAGGGA